GGGACTAATTTAGTTATAACTACTCGAGAGCCATTGTGGAGAGTTCTCTGAAAACATCCACTCAGTATGCAGAAGCAGTCAAAAGCAAACAATATTGAATCATTAATAAAGAGATAGAGAATAAGACAGAATATCTTATTGCCTCTGTATAAAACTATTGTACACTCACATCTTGAAAACTGCATACAGATGTGGTCGTCTTATCTCAAAAAAGACATATTGGCAGTGGAAAAGGTTCAGAAAAGGGCAACAAAAATGATTAGGGGTTTGGAATGGGTCCCATCTGAAGAGAGATTAAAAAGACTGGGACTTCTTATTTTAGAGAAGAGGAGACTAAGGGGGGATATGATAGAGCTCTATAAAACCAAGACCGGTGTGAAAAAAGTTAACAAGGAAAAGTTATGTACTTGTTCCCAAAACATAAGAACAAGGGGTCACCAAATGAAATTAATAGGTAGAAGGTAGAAGGTTTAAAATGTATGAAAAGACATTTTTCCTCACTCAGCACACAGTCAACCTTTGGAACTCCTTGCTTGAGGATGTTGTGAAGACCAGCACTTTAACAGGGTTCAAAAAAATAACCAAATAAATGAGGTTAGTTAGGTCCATCAATGGCTATAAGCTAGGATGCATAGGAATGGTGTCCCTAGTTTCTGTTTGTCAGAGGCTGAAAATGGATTACAGAAGAAGGATAATCTGATGATTCTGTGTTCTGTTCACTCCCTCTGGGGCATCTGGCATTGGTCACTGTCGGCAGACAGGATACTGGGCTAGATAGACCTTTGGTCTGTCCCAGTATGGCTGTTCTTATGCTCTTATGATGAGCTTTATGAGGTTGTGGGATTGTTTGAAGGCCAGAAAAGGGGGTTCGGGAAAGATTTCTTTCGGGATGTATATTCTCCATTGAGTATGGGTTGTAAAATTGTTTGAGAATACCCAGTATGGGTTCTAGTGTGGGATGGTAGCTGACAAATAGGGATGTGTAATATGTAACTGGTTTTTTTTTGTCCTGTTTTATAGCAAGTTCTCTTGGTATTTGAGTGATCCTCTCCACAATGTATCCAGAAATATAATCTATGCTATCATGTGCCGAAAGTGTCCGTCTGCTATGTACATTGGACAAACATCTCAGACACTTCGCCAAAGGATTAATGCCCACAAAACAGATATCAGACAAGATCACAAAGAGAAAACAGTTTCTTGCCACTTTAACCAGAAAGGACACTCTCTAAATGACTTAGCCACCTGCATTCTGCTACAAAGACCTTTTACATCTGCACTTGAAAGGGAATCCTCTGAACTGTCATTCATGTTAAAATTCCACACTTGCCAACAAGGACTTAACAAGACTTTGAACTTTCTCACCCATTACCAAGACAGTTTCCCCAATTATCACCTGTAATACCATTAACTCACAAACATCCCACTCTCCCTACCTTTAATATCAGCAATTCACAGACACTTACCTTCCTTCCTCCCCCTTCCCACCCCCCCGCATCCCTCTTCTGTTCTGCAATGTGATTTGTCCTTTTCATATTTGTTCATTTTTTTAAATTGTATCCTTTGGTATATAAGGTTGTGACTACTTTCTTCCACTATTTGATCTGAGGAAGTGGGTCTGGCCCATGAAAGCTCATCATCTAATAAACCATCTTGTTAGTCTTTAAAGTGCTACATTGTCCTGCATTTTGCTCCACAATGTAGTTTGCTGGAATGTTGTCAGTTGATGAGAAGGTTTTAAGTGTATCCTGGACTTTCTCTTTGGAACATACATTAGACTATTGGAATGCTGCAATAACATTTTTATAAAGTTACAACTGTCTCAAATGTATGGCTTTGTTGATTATATTTGTCACAATTTCCTTTAGTTTAAAAATGTAACAATGAAATGCCTCACCTTTTCCAAACGGAACTTCTAATTTTATGGAAAGCTAAAATATTTTGCCTTTTTGGGGGGATAAAAACTCATTAAAGCACTGGAATTTCTGGGGAATGGAAATTCTGGTTTTAGTCAGTTCTAATATTAAAGTCCAGAGCAGATAGCACGATGGCTCAGACCATAGCATTTGTGGATCATTACACTCTCCTACAGTGCTTAATTCATCTAAGGCAGTGGTGCAAAACCTATGGCTCTTGAGGACAGCTTTGTTGAATAAAAACTTTTGTATATGATTGTGAAGTTACCGTTCCTATCTGAATCACACTCTGCAATTTTAAACTGATGTGTTAGAATCAACCCTGTCACTATGGAGAGGAGGCACCGCTGTCTCAGAAGTAGCTTGGGTATAAGCTTGGGAGCACTTTAAGTAGTTGCTGTCCTTTTCTGGCTGTTCAGCAGTTCCCTGATGAGGGCATCACACCAGGGAGAAGAGAGTATTGCTGCTTGCTCCATTACCTACCTCCCTGCTGGGCTATGGGAGCTGCAGGGAGGGAAGGAAAGGAAACAGTCCTTTGCCATGATGCAGTCAGAAATCTTGACAGTGAGTAGGCTGCTGCTGTGCTGAAACCACATCTTATTGTGCTGACCAAATGCTGTCTTGCTATTTCCTTGTGCTCTGTGGCCACCCGTATCCATCTGTTGTTGCTTGTCATGTATTTAGATTTGAAGCTGTTTGTGGGTAACTACTAGTTTATTTCTATCCCTGAGCACAATGGATCATGGTCCATTACTAGGGCTCCTAGGTGCCACAATAATACAATTAATAAACTGACTGCCTCTTCCCGAGCCTGGGGAAGCATGAAGGAAAGGATGGTTCCCCTCTTCTGCACGGCCCCACAGAACAGTCCAGGAAAGGGGAAAAGGAGGAGAAACTTAAAACCAGCAATCAGGTATGACTTCCTGGTTCTGGGCCTTATCTGTATCATTCAGGGACAAATCCTTATGGACCACCCACCAGCTGGGGATGGCTGAAACAAAGTGCACTGCTTCTTCCTGACCTGGTTCCTACACGCCCACTACATGAGAGGTTATAGGGGAGCTGGTGCAGGAACTGCCTCGGCCAACTCTATACCTTCTGCCCCATGCTAACAAATTCCTCCAGCTGGGATCTGGTAGATGGTTTCCATTTCTTGTGGTGTCTCAGAATCTGCCCTAAAATTCTAACTGCACCTCCTTGATCTTTTTTTTTAAATAAAATGTTTGGACATAAAAGATTGAACATGCTGCTCAAGGGTGTGTACCAATCCCTGAATTGTATGGGTAACATCTAGTATTTTATATGTTTTGTACATTTTGTAAATGCATAGCTAGCTCACAGTAGACTGGATGCCTGGATACCTTAACACTAATTCAGACCCCCCCCCCCCCACCTTGATCAAAGCCATTGTGGAGGTAATACTGAAACCATTAATAATTAAGACAGCTGGCGAGACAACCTTTACCAGCAACCTCATTCCTCTGGAAATAGCACCAATGGATTTAAAACTTCAATTCTCATTACGTATCTGTAAGAAGATGGTCTGTCCCTTTATAGGGATAGGGATTCTGGGGCTACCCAGCACTGTTGAGTTATCAGACCCAGCAATCTGAAAAGCCAGGAAGTGGCTCAGTTGGGGAAGGGAAGATGGTTTCTGCAACTGGCCAGGGAGCAGAAAGAGTGGTGGAGAATTAAAGGTCACTGGGCCTGTGCAGCCTCTGTTGGTCAGGGAAATAGCTTTTCTGTGTTTTTATTATTCTTTTTTTTTAATTGAATTGATTGAGGGAAGGGCCTGAAAGAGACTTGGCTGTGGACAGACAGTTCTAGCAGGTCTATACTATCAAATTAAAGAGAAGAAATCGTAAGCGAAACTGGATGTCACTATATTAAATGACATGTAGGAATGGAAACTTCAAGGTCTAAAAAGTCTCACTGCACAATAACTGTAGAAATGTAGCCGTGTTAGTCTGGTGCAGCTGAAACAAAAAACAGGACTGCGTAGCACTTTAAAGACTAACAAGATGGTTTAACAGGTGATGAGCTTTCGTGGGCCAGACCCACTTCCTCAGATCAAATAGTGGAAGATTCCTGTTAAACCATCTTGTTAGTCTTTAAAGTGCTATGCAGTCCTGTTTTTTGCACAATTACTTACATTGCACATGGAGATCTTGATTCAATGGCTGTTGAAGTCAATGTTATATTTGATATAACAAGGGGTGATGGTTATACAAAACCTGATGTAGGTTACAAAACATATAGGTATGTTTTTCAAAAGATCCAAAATGACATTCAATGGGACTTGTGTTTCAAGAACACTTAATTGCTTTTAAAAATGCCAGCCTAAGTGTCTAATAAATCACATGTAGACTGGAGCTTTTAGTTTACATACAAACCTGTTATCCTTTGGGCTAAAAATGGTCTCCACAGGGCAGTAATGCCCTCTGTGTTTTTTTCCAGTCATTATAGTTCATTACTAACAGGTTCATAACCCATACGGATGCTGAAAATCAAAATGTGTCCATAACACTGAGGAAGCTGGATTAATATTCATGTGTCACACCTCCATGATAATCTATTGTTTCTACCAGTGAGAATTTTGCCATAAGAACAGTAGCAGTTTTTACTTGTTCTTGTGAAATGTATTCAAGTGTAGTCTTTCTATTTTGACTTTGATTTGGGGTGTCTCAGGCACATATAGCCTATAAGGAAAAGAAGTAAATTGCTAAGAAGATACCAGTCAGTAATGCTCTATTTAGCTGGATTTATTATAAAGAGAGGAAGTTTTATGCAAATCACTCACCTGTCTTACAATGCCAGGCTGGAAATGGGGAAAGACAGCTATTTGATAAAGACAGTTGATTGTTGCTAAGTATTTCTTGTTCTCTGAGTGTTTCATTAAAATGAAAATGTTTTTCTCTCTCTTACTTCCAAGCAATCATGTGAGTGAATGTGACAAATCTGTTGTAATGAGAACAGAGCGCGTTTCCCTGTCCCTTCCTCTCTTGTATCTGTGAATTTGCACAGTATCTCATCATACTCCTATGTGACTTGATGCTCCATTGGATTCTATTCTTACTCTTGCAGTGTGAGTGACAACTATTAAGTATGGCCCAAGGAGCTACTGATCAAAGTAATGTGGAAACAGCTGACCCAGAGGAGAGTTCTCCAAATATGATTGTCTACAGAAAGGTAATGAATTTGAGTTTATTTATAAAAACTTTCTATGCCATCTCTGGCTGGATTGTTAAATACATCTTTTATTCTGTTTTAGAGCACATATGTAACATTTCATAGGGCAACAAATTCTTACACTACAAGATTTGAGGATTGATGTTGCTTCTTTCTGTATGCTTGCAAGTACTACTTTTTTTGTAGCTGTAGTATATAAACAATATTTTATAAATCTTAATGATAAGGCCAATGGTAATACAGCTTGCAATTAATATTTTTAATTGTGAACATTTATTTACCTATTCAATTTACTAAATATACCTGTCTAAAACCTTATGTGCTTTATGACCCTTATCCAATATATAGTTTGTTCTTCCATACAGTGGCTTCATTACAAATTTTTAAATGTCTTTTTGCATATAATTTAGTGTTACCAGTTACTATGGCATCCCTTATGCTAAGTATAGGCAATAACAAAGTGCTAGGGGAAAATGAATTACGCAAAAGATAATTATAAACATGTTAATGGTTACCATGGGATATAGTGGCTGTTAATAACCATGACTCTATAACTGTACACAAAGCTCTGTAATACAGGGTAGGGGAAACTGTTCCTGTCCTGGAATGCATACGCATGCCTTCTAATCTGACTTCAGTTTCCATTGGTGTTAAATCTAACCCCCTAAATCACTCTTCCAGTTTTTTGTAACACACAAAGCTTAGGGAGCATTTAAACTTTAAGAGGGATTAATGAACCAGATCTGCCTCCCAAATTCATATTTTGGAGAGTTTTCCTCTGTTTTTTTTAAAAAGCCTCTACGCTTTCTTTAAAATACATTTTTCACAGAATAAAGAATGCCCTGGCTTTGAGGTAACTGATGTGTGTGTTTAAGAATCATAGAGCTTAAAATGGGAGGTAGAAATGACTTGAAATCCTGACTGATGTGTCTCAGTTGACAGCATATGAAGCTTAACTTATAAAACTGTAGCAGAAAACCCTAATAGAATTGTTTTTTGTTTTTGTTGTGGCTGTAATATATATATTCACTGTGATAAAATGTCTCATTCTGAAATACTCTGGAGAGTGGGGAGTTAACGCTGAAGGAAAAGCAATCTTTTAAATTATGGCATGAGAGCATTGATTTATTTTCAGAATTGTCTGTTGACTATGGAATTGGGTGTCTATAAGGAGCAGTAAAACCCTGAAAACATTTTCTATACAGTATGGGAAACTGCTGTGTGGTGCTGCTAAAAATGAAAATTTCCTACATCCACCATCAATATATTTGTACCCTGAGAGAAATGCTGAGTTTTACTATGTTACAAATGATGTTTGCATAGACAGAACACTCTTGTTTTAAAAGCTTTTAATAATTTATTTGACTAACAGAATGGTTATAAATAAAGGAAATATGCTGTTGTCCCATACCACAATTTTGTTTTCCATTGCATGATCGTGATCTCAGATACGCTGGTACGTAATTTAGGTTACATTTATGCCTATTGAGCCTTGAACTTCTTGTTTTTGATAACCCCGGTTTGGATTTGGTTGTTGCTTGTTAGATCTGGAATGTGAATGCTGACCTAGCACAGCTCTCTGAGTAATTATGGGCATTGGTTTTAAATGTGATATAAACTCACTTCAGCTTCTAATTCAAAAGTAGCTGTAGATGTTAACCATCAGATGTAGCTACCCAGAGTCTACGATCTGAAAGGTCCAGTCACTGCTCTCAGCACGATCAGGGTCATCTGGAACTTATACTTAGGCTGCTAGGATTCTGAGTTCATCATCCAGAATTGGGAGGTGTTGGTTCCATTTGAGACTCTATCCAGTCCTGAAAATGTGCTTTTTCTTGTATGTTCACCAGTTTTCTATTCCTGACATGTTGTTTACACTTAAACAGAATAAATTTGTGACAGCTGCTGTTATACTATTATCATTGTAAAATAATTGTTGCATGATCTGCCATACTATTGGGGGAAAATGCTCCTGCCATTTGATTTATTCCTCTAGAGTGGGTACACCTGGTGTCAGTACTATCATTGTTCCATGCATATACCATCCAAGTGCACCTATACTTCTTAATTATCAGGTTCTATGCATCACCCAATAATAATTCTTTCTCTCTATTACAATATATTGCTGCAACTCTTTTTTTTCTTCTTCTGGTGCTGGGTTTCACTGAGATGGCATTTCTGTGTTTAGGGTTGGTCAATACTATTCTTTTGACATTGCTCATCTGGTGGCTGGCTGGCTGACTTTCTGGGCCTGTGTAGTGGTTTGTTAATTAGTGTATATGTTATATAGAGTATACGCCGGTCTGTCTCCCCAGCACAGAAAGGATTAATGTCATAACCAATGTCTGTTTGTGCTCTTTCTTCAAGGTACCATTTACTGAGTGCATAGACAATTTTCAGCAAATCCCAAAATAAACACTTCACAGTAAAGCCAAGAGCTAACTTCCCCTGACCCAGGGGCTTCTTGCCAGAGCCCTCCCTGTTCTGATGTCTCTTCTCCAGTCCTCCTATATTCCATTTGTCTGGGGCTCTTCCCCTGGTCTGGGGCCTGCCACAGGAGCCAGCCTTCTTCCTTTAGCTTCTCTCTCTCCCTAGTTCTTTTAGCCTTTATAGGAATTAGGTCCTAACTGGTCATTGCCTGACTTCTTCCCAAGTGGGTCTGATGATCCCCTCCACAAGGTGTAAAGTATCCTATTACAGTCACTATTTACTTTTATATCTCTGTGAGAGATGTTAGAATGTGTGTATTCAGGTAAATGTGCAACTGCTGAAAAATTCAAGGGTTACACATTTATGCATTTGGGGATGGTGGAGAGGCAGCTCAGAGGCTTCTGTGTGTGTCAGAGGCAGGAGTGCAGGGGCAAGGGGGAAGGGCAGGTGGCTCTGCAGGAGCTGGTACTAATGGGGAGCTGGACCTTGCAAGCATGGGCTCCCACCTGGCTCCCACACTGCTGCCTCTGTATCAGAGGCAGCATGCAGGAGGGAGGGGACAGGTGGGAGCTAGTGCTCACAGGCAGTTGGCTTTTTGACACAGAGGCTGCTTTTTATAGCAGCTTGTATGCCTTCTCCTAACTGTTCTGGTTGATGTTTGAGGTTGAGAAATCCTTTTTATTTCTGTTTCCTTCAGAATTAACTTTCTGGTGCTGAGGCTGATAAGTCACAAGGCATGTGACTACTGAATGTGGAAAAGGTACTCTCCAGCAGATTCCTTCAAAACCAGTAGTTTACCACATGTTCTTTCTTGGTGGGCAGCCGGGCCTTGTTGACCTCATCACAGAAGAAGTCTGTGTTCTGTAGTGACACCACCATCAATCACAGAGTGTGGTTTCCAGTATGATAACACGTATGATGTCCTTCTATCTGGGCGTATACCTTAAGATGTAGCCCAAAGAAGCAAACAGGTGGGTCAGACAGGGTGTTGTGGGTTGTATTGCAGTGCCTGCTGTGGTTTGTCTTGTTCTGTGGAGCACTGGCACTGGTTGGGAATTTTACTGCACTCTGCAGAACACATTCCATTCCTGCCACTCATGTACTGAGCGGTGGCTAAAAAGTAGTAACAACATTGTGCATGTGGTTCTGGCAAAGATGCTGGATTTTTTTTTCATGGGATTACAGCAGAGGGGGAAAGATAGACTTTAAATTTGTCTTTAAATCACATTATTTTATCCTTTAGCCTAGTTCTTATTGTAGCAGTAGTCTAAACACAAGGGCTTTCACTGGAAGTGAGTGCAATTTGATGCTTATTTCTATTTGTGGGTGGTACTGAGGGTGTTTTGGGAAGACAGAGAAACGCAGAAGGAAGTCTGGGAAGAAGAAAAAAGATGATCAAGTATTAATTGATTTTTTTCACAGCTGTCACTTTTCCTTGAAATCCAAACTCTGGTGCATCTTTCCAAAAATCTAGCCCCTGAAGGTTTAAGCTCCGTGGCCCATATCAAAAGAGGAAGCAGTCACTAATGCCATCTTGTACTAGTAAATAAACAAAACAAATCTGAATGATTACCAGAAATAAATTGCTGAATTTGGAGGAAGTTCAGAGACAGCAGCAAAAAATAATTAGGGGGCTTGAGGAAAAGATATATGAGGAAAGATTAAAAGGCTTGGGGCATGTAGGGGGCAAAATAATCAAAGAATGTAAGCACTAAAGGGGAATGGGAGTTGTTTAGGGTAGTTTTTAGATAATATACGTAAGAGCAATAGGATGACATTTTTTTAAAAGTGAAACTCTAGACTGAGTATAAGAAAGAGTCCCTCAGTGAGCTGTCTTAGACTGTGCAATAGTCTCCCAAGGGAGGTCTGTAAGCCTCATTGATTGAGATATTCAGAACAAGACTGAACAAACCTCTAGTGAATACATTATAGGGAACAGCCCTACAGGGGCAGAGATGAACTGAATGATCTAATAGGACTTTTCTGTCTCTGAAGGTCAGTTTTGCCAGATATACACATGAGTTTTGGGCATGAGTGAACTTCTCAAATTGTGAATTTTTGTTGTTCATTTTGTCTTTTTAAGTAAGCAATACAATTCAGTTTCTAAAAGTAATTGCTGCTACAGGTAATTTTGATGTGAATTTGCAGCTGATTCATGATACTTTTTGAAAGTTTTAATCATCTGCTTACCTCAGTTTTTAAAAGTCTTGCCAATTTTTAAACATTTCACTTAAAAAAAAGTTAGTTAAAACAATTTCATTAAAAAAATTACATTAACAGCCTATGTCCCAGTTAAGCTCTATAGAAACCCAGGACTGACAAGCATTTTGGATGAACGAATGCAAGCAAATCTGGAATTATGATGTAGAGAGGAATAGTACAAGAAGAGCGGAGAGGGTGTATTAACCAGGAGGACAGAGAGAGAGGGGCCAGAATAATAGTGTAGCTGGTTCAGAGTGGTAGAGGACAGAGGTCAGTTTAGATGGGGTGTAAGACGCCCCCGTGGACGGAAAGGGGGGGCCGCCCCCCTCTCCTAGCCACTCCTCCTCAGGGTGCGCCCCTCTTGTCCC